GCAAAATATGCAAGCTGCGTAGGGCCCCCGAAACACCAGGGGGCCCCCTTGCTCTCAAAGATGATTTAATCTTAGTTTCGTTTTTGAATTTGGCCAGCGGCTATGAAAACATGAATGATCATTTCTTTTAATGCGGTGCGCTGTCGCCCTTTCTACGTAAAAATCAGTCAAATCGTGATGTGTGTAACGTGTGTCTTGCTTGAGACTAATAAAATGAGTTGAAAGCGTACCGAGCCACGGAAGAGACACTGTTTCTCAAGCGCTTTCCGCGAGCGCGATTCGAGACGGAGTGAAACATGGACAAATGCGTTTCATTCATTCGTTCATAACCACTCATACTGTAATGCCTGATAAAGCAGTGTTTGTGAGCGCAGTGCTGCTTTGTGTGTTACCGGGGAAACCGATATTTTTACCGCTCCAAAAGCGACACCTAGTGGCAAAGAATGAATTTGCATTTTCATTCAGACCAAAGCGAAAAAACCAACAAGTGGGCGGGCAATATGCTAATGTTTCATGTTGATGTCAACATGAAATGGCTTGGGATTCGTTTTAAAAACGACTCGTTTAAATGATTCAGAGTCGACTCTGTCTTGTGAGATTCAATAACTTTATACACGGTGCACTCTCAGATTTAAAACTTTGCAGGATGTTTTCATTCACTTAGAGCTGTGTTAAACACTGCATGAAAGGGAATTTTCAAAAATCCATAATAGGGGCACTTTAAACACTAGATCCATTGTTTCAATTTTTTTACGTTTTTATTTTTTTTGAAAAGTGTCCAAATACTTTATAGGCCCACTGTATGTGAAAAGTCTCATGTGTGTGTGATAAACAGAGCTGGCATAGCAGGACAGTGAGAATTACAAAAACACAGAGGAAAGACAAAAAAAATCAGGAAGAGTGCAGAATGACAGATGAAAGCTACAGCAGGAATGTGAGCAGGAATAGAAAGAGAAAATCACAGATTGTTGAATGATTTACAGCAGCAGTGTTTGTCCAGGTGAACCAGCAGAACACAACAACAACAATAACCAGTAGTGTTTACAGTACAGCATATTCATAACTGTTTATTTTAAATCAAAATGCCATTTAATGTAACAAAAGTCAGTTGTATTTGTCTGTGTATTCTGTGACGATGTGAGGATGAAGCAGATAAAAACTACTGAACATGACAGAAAACATGTGGCACACAAACTCATTTCACATGCGACGAGGCGTCTTAAAGAAACGGTCGGATGAACTGTAGGAAAATGGTTTTCATGAACTTTATGATTATGTAAATGGAAAAAACTCAGGAAAACAAACAAACAATAATATTTTTTACATGTCAGAGAGAGTGGGAAATGGTTATAAAAACTAAATGTTTATTTTTTTTTTAAGTTTTCATAAGCTTTAAGTAAATGGAAAAACCTCAAGAAAACAACATTTTGAACATTTTAGAGAGAGTGGAAAATTGTCACAAATTTTACTTTTTAAAAACTTTTATGATTAGAGAAACCTCAGGAAAACAAGCAAACGTTAATATTTTAACACGTCAGAGAGTGTAAAAAGGTCATGAAAACTAAATTGCAAACTTTTTTTGTTGTAATAAATTTTATGCATAAAAACCTCAGGAAAAAAAACTTGCATTAACATTTTTAACATGTCTCAGAAAATGAAAATGGCCATAAAAAATACATTTTATATCTTTTTTGAAAAAGTTTTCAAAAACTTTATGTAAGTGCATTTATGTAAGTGCATTACATTGCTTCCCCGATCATTATTAGTTGCATGTGATTTTAGTCAGTGAGATGTTAACTAGTACCCGCCAAGTCACCTGGCTTGACTAATAAACGAGTGATTAGTTCAGGTGACGGATGATTGACAGCTGTCGTCTCTGCTCCGCAGCTGGCTGGTTTACATTGATCCGGGTTTCCAGGGTCTGCTGGCGGTTCTGGAAACCGGAGAGTATCTGTTCCCGGAGGACTGGGGTTTTCCGTCGCCCGCAGTCGGCTCTCTGAGGCCTCTGCGTATGGTACGGCTCACACGATAACGATATTCACCCGTCTACAGTATAGTGTGTCATCAGAACTGTGCTTGTTTTGCAGGGCGCTCTGAGAGTGGAGAAGCCGAATGCAGTCGAGGTTTGTGAGTTTCAGTGTCTTCTCAAGCGTGTCTTTTACAGTGATGGAGACTCTTGATCTGTCTGTCTCGCTCAGGCCGTGGTGTATGAAAAGGCCGGTCTGGAGGGCCGATGTGTGGAGGTTCAGGGAGACGTGACAGAAAACCACGGACTGGACAGAGTGGAATCACTGAAGATCCTCGGAGGCCTGTGAGTGCTGACCTCTGATGTTCTTCCTCAGTGTTACTGCTGTTGAATGCTTCCCTCGTCTGGTCTCAGGTGGGTGGGATACGATGGCCAGGAGTTCGAGGGGCAGCAGTTCGTTCTGGAGGAAGGAGAGTATCTGGACTGGACAGATTGGGGCGGGACGAGGGAAACGCTCCTCTCTCTGCGGCCCGTTTTCATGGTGAGTCTCAGCTTCACTAGCGATCGGTCACCGTGCTTCACTAGCTGTCCAGCGGCCGACTGGTTGGTTAGTGAGATCGTGCATTAGCTGTCGGAGTGTTCGTGTGGGAAAAAAGCATCTTTATTTGCATGCTTTATTTAAAGGGGTCCTATTATGCTCTTTTACAAAGTCTTGATTTTGTTTTGGGGTGATCGGTCAGCTGGGCCAGTGTGTGCTGTGATCGGTCAGCTGGGTCAGTGTGTGTGCTGTGATCGGTCAGCTGGGCCAGTGTGTGCTGTGATCGGTCAGCTGGGTCAGTGTGTGTGCTGTGATCGGTCAGCTGGGCCAGTGTGTGCTGTGATCGGTCAGCTGGGTCAGTGTGTGTGCTGTGATCGGTCAGCTGGGCCAGTGTGTGCTGTGATCGGTCAGCTGGGCCAGTGTGTGCAGCATGTGACCCCTTTAAATTAATTTAATCATACTGGACTGCGTTTTAAAAGAAAATACTATTTCAGTCTTTCTACTTCTAAATTTCATGTTTAAATTCAATGTGTCACTTGCTGTTTTTTTGTTTTGTTTGTTTGTTTTTTTTTTTTTTTTTATAATTTGTGAAAAAATTTGTTTGCAATTATTGATTGCAATCCTACACCAGATTTGTCCAGTGTACTCCTCAATCTCCTTATTTTAGGTTAATATTTCAATAGTTTTCCCCCATATTTTGTAAAAGCTAAATTCTTTTGCAGTATTTTACTGGTAAATGAAACATTTTACATTTTTTTAACATTTTAATCACCATTGCTTTTCAGTTTATTTTACCCTAACAAAAAACAAACAACCAGGCAAACAACATCAAAAAATTATATATATAAAATACGAAGTGAAACATTATATATAGAAAACTAAATAATATAAAATAAAATAATCATATTTCAATCATTTAACAGCACAGTTCGTCGATGACTGTTATGAGTCACATGATATGCAAGTATACAAATAGAATATTTATTTTTTGGTAAGTGTTTTATTTTTATTGCTTTTATTTCAAATAAAAGCAGATATTTAATTTGACATTTTTATGATTTCATTCATTATTATTAGCTATTCATCAGCTCACAATTGTTCCTCTTTGGAAAGTCACTTTATAAGCGTCTGCTAAATGCATGAATGTAAATGTAAACTGGAAATCCTGCCTTAATTCGTCTCGTTTAAAGCACCAGCCATAAAAACACTGAGCGCTGTGCTCTGTTCAGTTGTTTTTGAACTGTGTAAACATGTCTAAGAAACACAGGAGAACCCGAAACCAGCTCTCTTACTGATTTAGGATCGATTCAGAAAAACCACAATAGCAGGAAATAGCAGAACCAGAACCAAACGCTTGCCAACTGCTTTCTAATTTAAGACAACTGAGGGCTGTAAAAGGCTTTGTTTTTCAGGATTTCTCCTCCCCTCATATGAAGATGTTTAGTGAGCCGGACTTCTCCGAGCGCGGCGTCTGCATCGACCTCCTGGAGCCGCTGGAAAACACCGCAAACACGCGCTACGGCCTGCAGACGCGCTCCATCGAGGTCCTGTCCGGAGTGTGAGTCGCTTTCTTCATTCTAGAGTCCGGAAATAAAAGCTCACCGGATTTTTAATATCTTATAAACCATTAGAGAGCTCCAGGATTGTTAATTGAGGGTATATGTTTCTGTTTAAGCCATCAGTTCGCATTATTTGGTGAAAAACTACATTACCCATGATGCTGTGCAGAAAACTCCACCAATCAGAGAGTAGCGGTGAGAAAATTGAGCTCAGTGCGCTTTAGCTCCACCCACTCCCATGAAGCACTCACTATACTGTCAAAATACTTAAATATCTGTGTGTGTGTGTGAGTGTGAGTGTGTGTGTGTGTATAAAAATACTTCTGGAGCCAAAAAGTGGGCGGGCACTTCAGCCAATCAGGATATCTGTCAGTTTAATAGAAAAGCATGCACGTCTGACCCAAAAAATGCTCAAAGTTGCATGCGATTCCTTTCAGTCAGTTAGTGCTTCCACAGAATTAAAGAGCGCACCTGTTCAGGTAAAGGTGCATTGTTTTCCGCCAATACCACGTCATGTGACACAAACACAGGTCTGCCTCGGGCTGATCGTCGTTCAGAGGAAAGGAGGGCGTTTGCCAGAAAATGACAACAACAGAGTGTGTGCTTGCTGCAGCGCTTCTGACAATCCACACGGTTCCCTGTAATTACTGGTATGTGTGAGTGTGTGTGTGTGTGTGTGTGTGTGAGAGTGACAATGTATAAACATACAGGCTTGTTTAAAGCTGAAGCGCTCACACATTTTTCTAGTACAGACAGAGGCGTGTGTGTGTGAGACGCATGCATGCATGAAGGCAGGTCTGTATTTGTTCATGTGTGGGCGCTGCGGCTCTGTGAGTCTCATTATTTTGGGAGTTGCTGTAGTTTCGCTGCGTTGAATGTCAGTTTGGGCATCATGGAATGTGAAGCATTAAACACTGACGACCTTCAGGACGTTTCTACCCCAGAACTGCATCTGCATTCTCCTCATACTGAATCATCTGAACATTCTTGTGATATGAATCTAGCTGCACGTTAGTTTTAAAGGAATAATTCAGCTGGAAATCATCCTTTATTCGCCCGCATGTCGCTTCAAGCCCGTATGACTGTCATTCTTCAGTAAAACAGAAAAAAAGACGTTTAGCAGAATGTTCACGCTGCTCTTTTCCACCCAACGCTGTAGCTCTGCCACAGTGGACAGAAATGAATAAGTCTGACTGGTTTCTTGTAGGTGGGTGGCGTTCGAGGGTCCGGGGTTCTCCGGTCAGCAGTATATTCTGGAGAAGGGTCTGTACGGAAGCCCGGAGGACTGGGGCTCATCCCATAGCCAGATCTCCTCCGCCGTCCCCGTCATTCTGGTGAGAGTCGCTCTGTAATCATGATGGAGAGCAACGGCTGATCTGATCATCAGCAATCAATCGATCGATCGCATGCTGAGCAGCGTCTGGAGAATACGAGGGATTGCTGACGTTTGATGAATAGAGACACATTTATTTCCTTCACTCACATGACGGCGGCGACGGGAAATAGAATCAGTTTTGATGTCATGTTGACTCTATAACTGGAATATAGTGAGCTAAGATCAGTTATTAATGTGTATATTTAATATTTCAGGAAAATGTAGAAAACTCCTGCCACTTCCAGGTTTGTGAAAGAAATTATTATGTTTATTTATTATCCATATTATATGTTTTATAAATATGTATGTGTGTGTGTGTGAATGTTGTTGGTTTTATTATTTTGTTCATTTTTCATATATTTTCCTAATATATTCATATATTTCATATATTTTATTTACTGTAGTATAAAACTTTTTATATTATTTAAAATTTCTATTATATATTATTATTATTATTATTATAGTATGTTGTTCCAATTTTCCTCTTTTTGTATAAAACCATTATTACTTCATTTTATTTAGGTTTTATATGTATATATACACATGTATAGATAGATAGATAGATAGATATAATTTAGTTCTAATCCCTAATTACAATTTTTGTATAAAATCTAAATTATTATTATTTAGTTTTTCCTATTACTATTAATATTGTTTCTGTATATTTAAAATATATTTTGTATATATTATTTTGTTCAAATTTTCCT